TGAAAGGAAGCCCTTTGAAGCCCCATGGATGAGTAATCCATCGAGTTCCAATAACCAGCAGGTTAGGACAGCGAGTGCGAGTCAGGTTCCGAGCTTGACTTATACTCCGGTGGTTTTGTCAACGCCTAATTCTGTCTTCCCATGTCAAAGAATTTTTGACCAACCCAAGAGATTGGGTAAGGAAAATGGAACAAATGTTGAAGCTAAGGGAGGATCCGGTTCGGCTCAACCTCCATCCATGAGAGCGATTGCAAATCTGGTTCCGAGCTTGACTTATACTCCGGTGGTTTTGTCAGCGCCTAATCCTGTCTTCCCATGTCAAAGACCTTTTGATCAACCCAAGAGATTGGGTAAGGAAAATGGAACAAATGTTGAAGCTAAGGGAAGTGGATCCGGTTCGGTTCGACCTCCATCCATGAGTCGTGATAAACAACGAGAGAAGCAGCCCATGAGAGCGAGTGCAAGTCAGGTTCCGAGCTTTAAGTGGGTCCCGGTGGTTTTGTCAGCGGTTAGACCTCAAGCTCCAATGAGAGTAACTGGTCATGTACACCGATTAGGGGGCGGAGGAGGAGAGAGCAAAGGAAAGGGACCTTTAGCAACAGATCAGCTTCATGTTAAGCAGTCAAGTACAATCGGCCAAAGCTCAGGGACCAGCACTATTGAACGTGGACCTGATGAAATTGTGCTTAATCCATTGATGCTTCAAGATGCGTTGCTTGGAAAGGGGAAGATTATGACCAGACTGATGCTTCAAAGGTACAATTCTGCTTCTGTTGGTTTGAAGAAATTAAACGAAGAGAAGAAGAGTTTATCTTAAATGCATTACTAGAAAATTTGGTTCAAAGTTCAATCATTTTCTTTAATTTTCAATACTTTTGTTTGGATGAATTATGTTTTATCCGATGTCATTGTATTTTGGGGGACTCTTTGATTTAACTCTCTTGTGGTGTCTCTTCATCTCTATGAAAAGCTCAAGCTCTTTATCTAGTGCATTGCTGAGAGTTTCATGGACGGAGATGTAAGAATCATATCGGATTTGAATTGGATGATCAAATCGTGTGTCTTACTCTGCGTTTTGTTTTATAGTTTTGAGTGGTTATGGATTCCCTTTCTTTGGTTCAAGCTATCATGACAAGCTACACCTATAGCTTATTTTGCGTTGGTTTTGAGCGTGGTTGGCGAGTCAATCAAATCGCCACACACTTAATATATATACACATCTGATTCAAATAATAGTGTTTTAATG